GGTTGTTCTAAATTTAAGATATGATCTACATGTTCAATCAAGTGTATCAGACCCACTTGGCATGGGATCCATCACCAGGAAATGATGCTGTGGTGGCCAATCCCGTTTGAAATCTGACAAATGTAGTCAGTGTTGTTAAACTGAACTCCGTGAGCCAAAATGCTTTGTTAACTTTTTTTGCTCATTTTTGCTCTCCCTAAGGCATACCAATAGCAGATCAAGCTTATATGAAGTAATTACAACAATGCTCCAAGCTGTCATTAGAAGAAAAATATGCCTTAAAATACATTATTTCCACTGTACAGTACCACTGTATAGCACTTTACTATCTTCAAAGATATTTCACACTTATTAGATAAGGTTTACCTCAGGTATGGAGAGCTGAGAGAACATGAAACAAACCAAAGCTCAAGGTAAGCTTTTTTCCTTCCAAAATTAACTATTTATTACTAAAGAAACAGTGAGGTCTGCATAATTAGCAATCTAATTGCTGCCAAATTTAAGTCAAAACAGTCTTAGCAAGATTTTAAGAAATGGAAACTACTAACAAATCAGATTTTTCTTCCATTAAACTTAATTCTTAACAATTACTGTTTAACTTTGTTTTTTCTCTCTACGACAGTAAGAATTATACTTTCCTTGCAACTGCAAAAAAATTTTGTTGACATAAATTATATAGTAGGAATCACAACATCCTAAGTCCATGATCCCTTAAACAAAACAAGATGCATGCCTCCGATGTTGGAAGCAGATAAGTGGTAAGACAGGCTTTGAATTCTCTGGCAGACTGGGCTTTTTCCTCACCCACAGTTCCACATCTTATCCTGGGTTCTAATGATTGTGTGCATTTCAACCCATTGACCGAGAATATTTTAAATGAAGGGCAACAATATAGATGAACCTAGATATTATTGTGGAAGTGAAATAATTCAGCCAGAGAAAGACAAATAATATATGATTTCATTTATATGTGGAACCTAAAACATACACACACACACACACACCACCACTACCACCACCACCACCACCACCACCCACAACAACAAATGAAAAAAGAAAATGAAACAGATCCACAGATACAGATATAAGACTAATGGTTGCAAAGGGGATGGGGATAGAGGATTGTCCGAAAAGGAAAAAAAACAAAACAAAAACTTTCTGAGCATATATCAAAGCTTTAAAATATATTTGCTGAATGTTATTGAATGTTTCAGTAATTGGTTAAGGCTCAAAAAAGAAGTGAGGGATCGGAGATTTGAAAGATAAGCTACGCTTGATCAAAGTGCATAAAGTCAGCACGAAGTTTAATTACAATTCAGTTTTCTTATCATGAAAAAGCATATGACCAAATTTTTTCATTACAAAAAATATTACAAGCCTAGGAACCAAGGAAAACATCTGTAGAATAGGATTACCTATCTATGCAATAGAATTCCCTATAACCAGAACAATAATTTTAGTGTATTCATAGGGAATCAACTGTTATTGATTGAATGCTTATTTTGTTGCAAAGGGAGTTTACCACGTTGTGTTGTGACAAACCACTTTCAAACAGCATAAAAAGTTCTGTTTTTATTAGCCACAGTAGTGACTGTGAAATGGTTACCTGAACGGTAAACAAAACCTCAGAAAGTCTTCTCCACTACTTTTTCTATTAACAATTCCAAGCTCAAAAAATAAAGTGACACAGTGTAAGTTTCTAAAGCTTTATTATTTTTATTACATACATTTCACAAACAGAAACCTTCTACCATCACATACAATTCCATAGCCAAATGTTTCAATTTTACCAACTTTCTTGAACTATTTACACTGTCTTCCCTCCACAAAAGTGCAATCCAAGACATCTTGACAAGAAATCTTTAATGACAAGAATACATTTTAGCTGGTTTTAAAGATGTCCATCCCATATGTTTTCTTTCAATTACCTGGAAGAGTAATAAAGTCAACAGGACATGGAGATGAGCTGAGTTAGGCAGCATGGGGTTTTAGGAACCAAATCTCCAACTAAAATTACTCAACAGCTGCTACCATAAGACTAATGAAAAAAGCAAGCTAGAGTTACTGACCTGGCACAGGAGAACAGAGGGCAAGTTAAGAAGTGGTCTTATAGGAAAAAATGAAAGATTTTAGCAGGTTAGTTTTGGTGGTCTAGTCAGTTATGTATCAGTTCATCTATTAGTTTTAGGGTTTAAATAACTAATAATATTCTTTTCTGATTAATTAACTTCCCCAAAGCAGATATGAAAATACTTTTTACTCTGAAATTGAACTTTTTTTAATAAAAACTATAAAATAAAGATTTGGGAAAGCTCTTTCTTAATTAGAATGGAATAACTGACCCCAATCTCCAGGTTCACACCAATGTCTCTTTTTAGGTAAAAACCCAGCATGTTAAGTGCTTCAGATGCAACCAGAAGAAAGTGGAGAACTGAGCTGGTCTGAAGAGAAAATGATGAGATCATCAGAAATAGTTTTCTCACTAAACTAAAGTAGATAATTGTGTTTGTTCAAGGTGTATAACTCTTAAATATAAGTGATTAAAAAAAAGAGCGGATGACAAATGGAGTTGAAATTATAAGTCACTATGAGTGATTCAGATTATAAAGCACTATTCATCAGAAAAACAGAAGATGGATCTCTTGGGTGACTAATACCTTTTAATATCCAAACCACAACAAAAATAATCATCTTTTTGACATATTCCAATTTCCATCAAGGTACTCAGAGCAAAGTAGTTTGAGAAAGCATGGGGGAAATATTATGGTCAGCAGGTTTCCAAAGTAAGTTTTAGTCTCTATATTATTGTATAATTAATTATATTTTATTCTCAAATCAACAAAATTTTCCATTTTAGACAGGAATGCAATGCCTTGAAGGCCAAAAATATCCTCAGATAGGATACCTATCTATGCCTCTCCTTTTGTGAAACTGCAGCATCCATAGGGTCCTAACTTTTTCATCAAAATAAAGGTCAAAAGCAAGTTTTACCTAATTATGTCATACTTATTTTATAGGGAATAGAAGACAATATAAGGAGAAAATAACAAAAGCAGTAGACACTACACTCAGAGCAGTTTTAGACTGAGGAACTTGCTTAATGGAATCTATACATAGACATTAAGTTTGAGAACAATACTAGCAGATTTCTCTAAAAAAAACTTAGAACAGCATTACAAACACTAATTTTAAATTCAGAGGTAAAAGCCAAATAAATGGTGCTCAAAAGATAAGAGAAACTTTTGTACTTGGGTACATGAGAGAATCGACAGGGTAATAGTTAACCCACAATTGCAGGTCTGTGTGTTACAGACAAATTTGCAAAGGTTATGTCCTATAGACCTGTTTCAGTTGCATCAAATGCTCTCAGACCAGTGATGATTTTCTGCTTCTTATTGGCACTGGACAGTTCCCCAGCTATGAAACACTTTTCAGATCATCAAATACCAAACCAGATGCGGGAAACTGAATTACAATCATCCAACCTGAAAGATGGAGACTATTAACATGTGGGTTCTTTTTAAGACTGCATTGTTTCAAACAAAACATCAACTGTTGCATGTAGAACTGAAGCTCACTTGCAATAATTCCTGAACACTTCTGGGAGGTAAAACAACTGTTTATCTGAGGGGACAAAAATGGTATAAACCAAGTGAGAAATGTAAATGCTCACGTAACTCCAAATTTGGTTACCTGTAAAATAATTTTATTTTAAGCTTCCAATTTGCCTATAATTTTTGTGCAATGATATTCTAATCCTATAGGGCATAGGATGTATGTCTAATTAAATCACCAATATCTAATGAACAGATAGCAGCATGTTGAAAGCCCAATGCTCTGACAAAATAAAGACATACTAACAGAGTATCACCTATTTTTCACCAATGGGTAAGGTATCATAGAGAGCTTCTGAATGATCTATTTTCAAACATATTGTTATCCCCTAAATTCAATGATTTTTCCAAAATGAAATACACTTAAAACAGAGATGTTAAATTTATTCTTTTCCTCATACCCTCACAAATAATGTTTCCCTTTCCTTCCTAGGGCCATTTTTTTTTTATTTTGCAAACACAGCATTAAATGGGTAAAATGTCACTGTCAGCAATTTGGGAGGAGAGAAATGTGGCCGTGAGTGGCTCCAGAATCACCAGTGAGGTCTGTGGCTGTGAGATTTCCCTGTGAGAAAGGTCTGGCATGAAATGGCACTTCGACAGTGCAACCTTCATATACCAGTGCTGCCCAAATCATGTTATTATCCCTGCATTCTCCTTGGAAGCTAATGTGACCAAATTCAAATTACAATTTTCTACCTTTTTGCCCTCTTAAATCCGTGTGCATCAAATTAATTTAGTATATTCTCACTGCTATAAGTCAGCTTACCTAAAAATATGTGCAATACCAATAGCTCTCATATGTCTCATAATTTGGATATTATTTTCAGTATGAAAACTGACTACGAAACTAGAAGAGTGATGGAAATAGCCCTCACGTTAACTTTCAAATAGTTTGTCAATGAGTGTAAACTGCACGTCCAAGTGTGCTGCAGAAGCTAAACAAGAGGGCTGACACACCATCAGCTCCAGGCACAGACTTACATTCACCTGTCACATGTTTTCCCTCGGCCCAGAGTTGATCTAAAGCGGGTCTTAAACGGTTGACTTTGAGTAAGAGGGGGCTCCCAAGTCCTACCAAACTCTAATTCCTTTCTTAAACTCAGCCCACCCTCCCCACCACCTTAAAAGCTGCAAGGGAGACTCTTTGTGATAGGGAACCAACACCCCAGCTCACAGGACTGCGCACGGGGCTCTGGCCAGGACCACAGACGAACACTCAGGAGTCAGGGGAGGGCAGGGACAGCCCATTTTAGTGACCCCCTACACAAAGGAACTTCTCTTTGGGTTAGAAAAGAAATGAACATCACAGAATGTTTCCCTAGAAAAGATATGTAATAAAGTAAGAGTGTCGATAAAAGAGCTATTACCAAAGCAAAGCTTTCATCAATAAGCTTCCAGAACTTTAAAGGAGGAAAATGGCTTCACAAAATGGTAGTCCAGGTTGCCACAGTGTGGACACTGCTGGACGTTGCTGTACTCGGAGAAGTACTGCATCCCGATCCGCACGTCGATCACCGGCTTCCCGCAGTGCTTACAGTTCAGCCGGGCCTGGGGGGAAGCACAGGTACATGAGCCGCCACAGCCTTTGGCCTCCCACACCTGCCCAAGTCACCTGACCCCAAAGGCAAGACTGTTACAGCCGCGCAACTGACCCGCAGTTTAGTGCCGTATCCTTTCTATTACCAAAACCAGGGTAGGCAAAGCATGAGATAAGCATAAGACCTACGTGTACTCAGGTATTCGTTAGTCTGAATAAATAACTCTTGATTTCTCTCCCCATATGTTCACTGCTCCAAGAAAATGTAAACTTGTACTGCCTTAGCCAAAACCTGTTTGGCTCAGTGGATAGAGCGTCGGCCTGCGGACTGAAAGGTCCCCGGTTCAATTCCGGTCAAGGCATGTACCTTGGTTACGGACACATCCCCAGTAGGGGGTGTGCAAGAGGCAGCTGGTCGATGTTTCTCTCTCATCGATGTTTCTAACTATCCCTCTCTCTTTCTCTCTGTAAAAAGTCAATAAAATATATATATATTAAAAAAAAAAAAAACTTGTATTGCCCTAAATTTCTCCACTAAAGTCTCCAACCACAGGACATGCCTTCGTCCCCCACGATTTCAAAGGGTGGCTGAGCCTGACTTCCCCCACCCGAAACTGCATAAACTTCTCTGAAGATTCTAAGTTTATTTTTAAAATTCATATACACGTTTCATTCTACTCCTGGCTATATTTGCATTTTCTCTGTATAAAAATAAAATTTCCCTAAAATGCTAAAGTAGAAGGAATAATTCAGGAAGCAGTGCTATATTTATCCTGAGGCTTCCAGAACCCACCAGGCACAGTGCATCTTCATTCACGCCCAGGCCTCTCTCACAGCAAATACCAGGCCTTAAGTGAATAACCAGAATTGATAAATACAAACAGGCTCTCAATTTAGATTCATTCCAAAAATGTAATAGAAAAGTATTACCTCATTTTGTCCCTGAAACACTCCTGGTGAGGTGGGTAGAATTCTGTGAATTTTTAGATGAAACTGAGGTATGCAGGGGTAAAGTGACACGCCCAAGACCATACGGTTAGGAGGCAGAAAGGCTGAGATTTGAACCCAAGCAGCTTCAATCATAGCCCACGCTCTGAGCCACTCTGTGGACTACCCTTCTCTCACCTGAGATAACCTCCCTTTTAACTGATTAATCTCTTTGAGCAACAGTAAGTACGTGAGGTATATGGCACATCTTTCTTTAACTTGCTATTCTTTCCTAATAACTAATTGTTGCTTATGTTTGGCTCAAAGTCTGACTGGAAGACTTCCCTTGATTCCTTAGTCATGTCTAACACTTACACCCTCACAGTGACTACTGTTACTTGGTTTTTTTAAAGCCAAACAGCAATCAAATGTGTTTTCCATTTCAGTACGCAGGGGGCACGGAAAATAAAAGTCTCGGCTTACATTGTTTTAAGGAAGAAAGATATAGTAAGTCCAACAGGTTGGGTGTGCAGAAGGCCATCCTGCTTTTCTTCAAGGTAAGGAAACAGTCCCACTGCCTGTCAGAAAGAGAGCCAGCCAGCCTGGGAGCTATGGGTTTTACTCATCACGGTGACACATTTGTGCAAAACCTCCTCCTTTTCCAGGCCTCCATTACATGTGGAAAACAAGGAGGCTGGACGAGATTCCCTGGGTCCTTCCAAGCGATAACATGCTATGAATTACAGGCCCAGCCATGCTTTTATTTCCTTGTTTCTCTATAAGAAGAGAAATAAGGTGTTTCTCTCCGGTGTGTGTGTGAAGAGAGAGAAGCCACTTCCTTTTGTTTCTCTCACCTCGTGAGCTGGCATTAAGGCACAGTGAGTATTATAAAATGCTACCGTGAACAACCGATAGACTGTAATATCTCATGTCTAAGGCCAAGTTTTAAACAGAATAGAATAGCATAAAAGTATTCAATTGTGGAATTAAATGACAGGCTATGGATGGCCATTTAGGTCTCTCGTCGCCTTAGTTCACCTTTAAGATCACTAATATAAACAAAGTACAGGTGAAATACTGACTCTGCCAACATTTTAATTCAACTTATACAGGGTACCTTCTGAATAAACTGTGAATAGTCAGGATATTCTCTTCACAAGAATTAAAGCATGCTAATGATGAAAAAATGTGTAGTACACTAATAAAGTGTTTATCACTTTATTAAAATCCAGGTGTGGCCAATGAAGAGTGATAGAAAATATCTTTCCGACCCACGAAGATCGATCGAGGAATTATACAAGAGCTTGTTTTTTTTTTCAAGCACCTAGAAATAAATGAAGGTATTTCCAAGGATTTTGTTATCTCCTGTGATTCTATGGACTTATTTAATGTCTTCACATGTTACTATTTCCCCGTTTTGCTGGTGACAGCTAAATGTCAGATGCTCTCTGAGCAGTGCTAACTGCCTCTTTCATGTCAACCTCAAACACTTTACAAGGCAGGCAGGCCTGGGTAACTGTATTGGTCTCACAGGAAGGAAACCAAAAGGAAATCCTGTCTATTACAAAAAGCGAAGCTTTCTTCTTCCTTTTAAATGAAACTTTGCTTATTAGAAACTCAGTACATGTTAACTATATAAAACATTAGAAAAGATAAGTAAGCAAAAAGAAAACTAAAGAACTGCTCAGCATCCCACATCCAGAAACCAGATGATCACTGAATAGCAGATTCCTTTTTATGTTCATTTTTTGGCCAACGGGAACATTTATAATCCTTAGAATTTTTTTAACTTAAAATACTGAAAACATTCCCCACATACTCAATCACTGCTCTACAGTATCCCTTTCCGTGATTGCATAGTCCAGCGACCACTGCAGCACACTGCAGAAAACCCACCACCACTGCTGGGCTTCGGGGAAGTCTCAAACGCTCACTACTAAAGCACCTTCCCCAGGCCGTCCGCCTCCCCACTCTAACGGCAATGCTGACTCTAACTCCTCCACGTTCACCCGGGGGCAGAAGCTGATGCCACCAGTGCTCGTTCTGTGGGGGTCCATACCGACCTGACAGCACGGAGAGGCGGCCAGGATGTCGTAGGTATACATGGTGCCCAGCTGGTGCCAGCTGCCGTCCCACCGCGACTTGCACTTGATGCAGATGATCTTGTGCACCCCCTCCAGGCAGTCCACGCACACCGCGTACAGGTGCATGAGTCTCCCTATGCACAGAGACACAATGCTGAGGTGGCCGTCAAGGAATTCCCCTTTTGACTCCAAAGGGGGTTAAACGTTGGTGCATCTACTAATTAAAAGTAAACATTTTATCATTTGGATAAATATAAAAAGCAAAGTAGTTATCACATGTCCCCAAAGTTGTCCTTTTAGAAAAATGATAAATTCCAACTCTTGTCAATGGAACATGTACTTTAATTTCAATGTTTAAGTTTAAATATTGCTTCAAATCACTTTTCCAAAAAATGCTGCCAGATCATCCAAACTCAAATGACCAAGCCTCCGGTGCTCAGAACCAGACTGTGGCCTACAGGACTTTCTGCACAGCCTACAGGTGGCACACAGAGACTGGGCCGGCCACACTGGTTCATGCAGTGTTTCCCAAAGTGTGGTACGCGTACCCCCAGGGGTACAGGAAGAGTTTGAGAGTTTGGTGGGGGTATGTGTTGCACCAGAGTTTGGTGGGGATATGCACTGCACCGTGCTAAGCTGCGCCTAATTCTACATTCTCATGAGTATGAGGGGTACTCAGCGTTACGAAAACTATAGAAGGGATACACATGTGTCAAAAGTTTGGGAAACACTCGTATAGTCGTGGGCCCTCTCATCCATTAAGTCCCACGATAAAGTCAAAAGTCCATCCTGGCATTGGGAGCCCAGAATTATACCACAGCCAAAATTGCTATGTTAACTGTCCTTGTCCCCAAAATTACTCAACCACCACATCTAATTTAGGAACCAGAATTATATCTTACTTGTAAGTGGTGTTTTACAATGAGTTCAAGGTCTTATTATTTACTGGGCTCTTAAAAGTCACACCCCCATTCCTCCATTAGTTATTAACACCTAAGAATCAATGCCACTCAGTTTATATGGAAGGCTTAGGTTAGGGTTCAATCACTGGGAAAGAGTCAGAATGTACAGGATCTGCTGGAATGGTGAGTATCAGCAACAATGCTGCTCTGTGTGTGGTGATCAGGAAGTTCCACTGTGCTAGAAACTCCCATCAGGAGCACACCAGCACCTAAGTGGCTTCTTATTCAAAACTAGAGGCCCAGTGCACAAAAATTCATGCACGCTGGGGGGGGGGGGGCGGGTCTTAAGACCAGCCTGCCCCACTCTCACAGTCCAGGAGCCCTCAGAGAATGTCCTGCTGGGAGCAGGCCCAAGCCACAGTCTGGCCTCCCTCTACGGGAGGTGACAGGGTGATCAGGGGAAGGCAATGCCCCCATCACACCACCGCTGCCTGAGCCTCAGCCCTTGCAGCCACTACGGCCCTCGCAGTGGCAGCTGCCATCCTGCAGCCACGTTCCACAGCTTGCTTGAGCCTTGGGCGGCTGCTGGGGCTTTGTCAGGAAGGACCTTTGGAAGACATCCACTCCAATTAGCATGCTACCCTTTTATTAGTATAGAAGTGCTGTTCGCTGCCTTCAGCCAGACCATGGCCAATCACTCCTCGGTGCTCCTTAAACTGGAGAAGGGTATACAGTTCTTCAGAGATATCTTTTACAGCATTCTGTCTCCTCTTTGAGGACTAGGTCTTACTCATCCTTGTAGGCTGAGTCTAGCATCGTGCCTAAAATGTGGAAAGCACTCCACAATTGTATGTTGAATGTATGGATGGGGCTTATCAATAGCCAAAGACAATATAATGTTGGGAGCCTCCATGTCAGAAATAGGAAGGATGGTGTAAGCTTCTGGCAGTACTGTCCACCTCTGCTCTAGGGCACTGAAAAGAAAAGGTCACACATACGACCCCCACTCAGAGCAGCCTGGGAACATTTCACAATGTTAATTCAAGCATCCAAAGGATACTAGATAACACTTCATTCCTAGTTTCCCTCCTGGGCTTATGTAATTCTCAACTATTCAGACATGCAGGCAGCTTGGGGCGGGGACAGATAAAGGTCAGGTGCTGGTAGCAATGACCCTAATGAAGAAGTTGACAGCGAGCTTTTGCTGAGGGCTTACCAAGGGTCTGACACTGTGCTATGAGGCTACCTGAAGCACTGCACTTAACCAGCACAGCAACACTAGAAAGAAGCTACTATTGTTATTCCCATTCAGAGAGGAGGAAGTGAATCTGAGAGAGTTTGAGTTGCTTGCCCATGTTCATAAAGATAATGAGCAGCAAAGTCCAGACTTCAGTTCATATCTGCCTGACTCTTAACTTCTAGACAAACTCCTGGTGTGGACTGAGCCTCTGGATTTGTTTCAGTTACTATATTATACATAGTCCTAGATCCAGAGAGGTTTACATTTCTGAACTCTAGGGTAGTGAGATCAAGCAGAAAGTGGAGATTCCTGAGAGAACAGTGGCCTGTGGTTCTAAGTGGAAAAGAAGTACAATAAAAACTTCCTCATTGGAACAATCTTAATAAATATTCAAGTCAAACAAAAATATCTAATCAGAGGAAGAGTCAGTGAACGAAGGCTGGAGCTGGAGGCTGGGGAGGGCAGTGAGAGGTAGAGGGCATGGTGAGGGGTGACCATCCATTCAGCAGGCACTGAAAATAAGTTATTTCAGCAGCATATAATCAGCTGCAGCCGGGAATCTGTGGCTGGAACGTGGCCTTTCTATTGGAGTGGAAGATGCTGTGATGAATACATGGCCGGACGCTGATGGCAGAAATTATTTACACTAGTTTGCTATAGAAAGGACTGCATGGGCTTCTCCGAGATGTGACAATAACAACACAGGAACATGTGAAGGCCCCACAAAGAACACGACAGACATGACAGAGCTCTTTATTATGGCTTCAAAGTGATTCTACAACCTGTTCTCCATCTACGCTACTCATTCTCCACTCTAGAACCTCTGCTCAACCAAATGATTCTCTCCAGCTTTCACCTCCTAATTTTTTTAAACCTCTATTGCTTTGCATATTGCTTCATCTCCTCAGCAACAAACACCTGGTGTGGCTAGAACCTTTACTTCAAATTAGTCCACCTTTTGATATATGCCTTCACATTGCCTCTCACTACGCAGGCCAAATGGGCCCCTTATACCTTGGAAATTACAGGACCCTTAATGTTCATAATATCCAGATGTTACTAGGTCCCCTTGTGGCACTAGAGCCATAGGCCTGGGAATTAGTTATATTTTTATCAAAGCATCATACATCCTAAGGCTATAAACTGATAAAAGGTAAGGACCAAGAGTATCCAGCTCATGAAATTCTTAAGTTTGATTGGCTGATGAATGAATTAAATGAAAAGAATTTGTCCATCATCATGAATGGAAAAAGAACACTACTCCTCTCATGTACCCTCGTTCATCTTCATAAAGAAAATTTCCAGCCTAAAAATGGAGACTAAAGGTGTTTCAACTTACTACCCTCTCAGATTATCCCCAAACAGTATGAAGAACAAGAAAAACACAAAAACTCCATCTTCTGTGAAACTAAACCTGACTATGAGGCCAGAAGTTGGAAGAAGAAAATGTACATAATTTACCGTCAAACTGGACAGCGAGCACAGGGAGAGTGAGAAGAAGTGCTGAAAGGGAACGAGTGGGGTATACAAGTAATCAATAGTCCATACAGTTTTTTCCATCAGGAAGCAGGATCTATTTTGTCATCCCCTGAACCTGGGCTAGTCTTACAACTTGTTTTGATGAACAAAATGTAATGTTACTCAGGTCCTCACTTAGCTTTCACCCTCCTGGTGAAATGCCACGGGAAAACCCAGGCAAGCCCAGTGGGAGGTGAAAGGCATTGCAGAACAGGGATGAGCAATTCTGGCTGAGGCTCCCGAGGCAAACTAGCTGCCAACTGTTAGAAGTGTGGAAGAAGCCATCCTAACCAAACCGTCCATAGACCTGTGAGAAATCATAAATGACCACTGTCTTAAACCATTAAGGTTTTGGAGCGGTTTGCCTTATAACAAAGGCCAGAGGACACACGGGATTAGGTGAAACTCTAAAAATTGCCTGAGAACAATCCCTGCAACGTTAGCTCCTTACCCCACTGAGAAGGAAAAGAAATTGCATCCATGAAACAAGAACAGAATACTATTAAAAAGAGCTCTTAGATATTATAAATATGAGAACAGAATCTTTAAACTCAGTAAAAATCCTGGAATATAAAGTCATAGGAATCTTCCAGAAAGCAGAATTAAAATAAAGAGATGAACAATAGGACCAAAATATATAAAATAAAAATAAACCAAAAGTAATTTCCCCATACTTAAGAACGTAAGTTTACAAAGTCAAGAAAGCGCCCTGTCCAATGAATGAAAAATAGGAAGACCCATATCATGGTGAAACTGCAGAATGTTAGGGAGAAAGAGAAAAATCTTAAAACCCTCAGGGGAATAAAGGAAAAAGAGTAATATTAAGTAATGTTAGACTTTGCAATAGCAACATTCGAAACCAGGAGACAGAGAAGAAATGCCTTAGAAATTCTAAGGGAAAAATAATTGTAACTTGGAAAATTGTAACCTGCCAAACAGCAATTGTGAAGATAGACTCAAGATATTATGAGACTTTCAAAGTCTTAAAACATCTATTTACATGCTCCCTTTCTCAGAAAGCCCACAGGGGAGGTTCAGCAAGCTGAGGGAATAAACCAAGGAAAGAGAAAATGTGGCGTCCAGAAAACAGAAGATAAAAAATAAGAAAGAATTAAAGAAATTCCTAGGAGGGCAACTATGTAGTACAACAGGTACTGAGTGCGTAAGGACAGACAGGAGCAAGAAGATGAAAGGTTCCATGAGGGAAATATTTTAGGAAAAAAAATCCATAAAATGTCAGAGGTACGTGGAAATGTTTTTGAAAGGTGGTTTGCATTGCTGCTGGAGAATGAGAACAATCAGCCAAAGATTCAAAGAAGGCTAAGCAAATGGAATGTGAAGCAATTATTAACTTCAACAAATACAAGAGGTACTTCCATATAGGAAATATAAGTACCCATACTTCTTGGCTCGATACTAAATATATCCATACAATTGGTAAAAAACAAAACAAAAACAAAAAACTCCGCAACATTAAGGATTATCCAAGAATCCTATACAATAAAACCCTAATATGCAAATCAATCTAAGGTGGAACAACCAGTCGCTATGATGCACACTAACCACCAGGAGGCAGATGCTCAATGCAGGAGTGGCCCCCTGGTGGTCAGTGTGCTCCACAGGGGTGTGCCGCTCAGCCAGAAGCCAGGCTGATGACTGGCAAGCACGGTGATGGGAGCCTCTCCTGCCTCCACAGCAGTGCTAAGGACATCCCACTGCCAGATTAAGCCATCAGTCAGACATCCCCCGAAGGCTCCTGGACTGCAAGAGGGCACAGGCCAGGTTGGGGGACCTTCCCGAGTGCACGAATTTTGTGCACCGGGCCTCTAGTTGTTGTATATTATCCTGAGAGAAAGAGGAAGATCATGAAAGCATAGTCATCCACCTTAAGAGTCAATAGGTAGTATCTAAAATTGGGAGAATGAAGATAACAGTTTTAAAATATGATGGTAAAAACCTAAAGAATCATATAAGATTTAAGTCTCTGGGAACTTGGATAGCAGGGATTGGTAGGAAGAAGACAGGTGGGAATGTCATTTTCCCTACAGGCCTTTTTACACACTTTTAAAATTATAAAGATAGGTGACATGCATCCCATCTTTACATAAATTCAATGGTGTTACATGCACTGACCGACTGCTCACCTCTGCCATTCAACATACGGTTGAAATGTCACTAAGTCTTTTTATGTCATCCACAGCATTAAAAAGCTCCCACCCTTCACCACCAAGATAATATCTGAGTCTCCAATAATCCTCCACATTCCTTTTGTTGCTATCAAGAAAGTCTCATCTTTCATAAATGATGTCAAGATTAATTCAAATAATCTAAAAACACCCTGACCCTCTCCGACTCCTACTTTTATATGCTTACAAGGATCAAAGAGAACACACAGCTTGCTGGGCACATTAACACGGGTTTCAAAGGTGACTATTTTACAGTGAGTAACGTCTTTTTATGCAATTTCTTCCCTAAGTTTCCTCCCAATTATAAAAAAAAAAAAAAAAGTTATACACCGGGGATCCTCTCTTCAAACTGCAACAGAACACACACATGCAATTACCCACCAGGACAACTGAGCTAGGGGCACAGTGACAATGGCGTAAGCAGACCTCCCCCACCTCTCACACCTCCCTGGCAAAGCGGAAATGTCCACATGTGACCCGGCCCCTGACTAGAACAGGAAAGCACCATCAGTTAACACTGAGCCAGAACACAGGCGGCCCATCACGGTGGCTTTCCGGCTCTCCACAAACAGAAAGCAGGCAAGGTGAGTGAACACCTGTACCTTGAAGGTGACAAGGAACATCGTATTCGATCTCATCGTGCCTCGATGGGCTTAGGAACAGAGTCCCGTCCACCAGTGGGAACTGTTCGAATACCGGGAGCGCCCGGTGGCACAGGGCACAGTTTACAACGTTCCTGTGGCTGGCGCTGAGGGCCGCGAGGATGAACTTGCGCAGATCCTCGCCCTGGCCCATCTGGGCGTCGTCTTCCATCCGCACATGGAAAGTGTTCAGCTTGTGCCTGGGGATGTGGGTGAGGAGCTCAGAGAGGTCCAGCCGCCGCAGGAACTGCACGGGAGTGTCAAAGTGGCCGCCCCTGTGCACTGACAGCCCGGCCGGACTGTAATCAAAGTGGGCGTTTCGGAACACGTGGCCCCCGGCCATGGCCTTCTTGTGAGGCTCCAGGTGGATGGCGTTCTTTAAGAACTCCCCCAGGTATCTGGAGGAGCGGGGGCCGCTGAAGTGGGCAGGGGAGAGGATGGAGTAGCCGGTGGGCGGGGACTGGCCGGGGGAGCCGCAGGGGGAGCGGCCCCCGTAGGCCCCGGCGCCCACCGCCTTCTCTTGGGAGTTCTGCCGGTCCATGGAGTGCCGGCGGGGGAGGTCGTGGTTCAGGCCTTTCTGGGGCTTGTTCGGGGGCCTGCACTTTTTGGCCTCCTCCACCACCTCGCCGGGCGGCCTCCCCGTGTTCTTCTCCGACCCCGACCCCGACTTCTTCTTCTTCTCGTCCTGCATCCGCTTCACCTGGTACCAGTCCGTGTCCTTCTTCAGGTGGCCCTGCCCGCAGCGGCAGGAGCAGAAGCGGAAGGCCAGGTCATAGCCCTTCTTGGTCCACATGTTCTGGCGGCACTGCTTCTCGTTCCAGCTGCGGGCCCGGCCGATGCAGTTGAACTGGACCAGGATGCTGCTCTCCCACTCGTAGAAGCACTGCAGGTGCATCCAGCTGCTGTGGGGGCAGTGCTCGTTGTTGCACACCACCTTCTGGTAGTCGTCCTTCTCCAGGTCCACCGGCCGCCCGAAGCTGCAGATCAGGGGCGTGGCGCAGGGGGCTTCTGGGGAGAGACACAAAAGGAGAGACATTCAGCCCACAGGATGAGGGGCCCCCAGCCGACACCAGGTCAGAGACCAAATCCCGCAGTAGCCCGTTCATGCCAAAGGTACCATTTTTCTGGTGTCAGATTTCCACCAGGATTTATGGAGACTGGAGTTCCACTGGGTTCCTAGTATTTCAACGTCCATAATGTTTTCAACAGGCGCCTCTGAGGGCTCGTTCTGCTCCCAGTTGGGAACCCCTGAGCTTGGTCACAAAGGTTCTACATGCCATGCTTGGGTAAGAGTTATCTATTGTAGCTGAGAAGCTAAATGAGGGCTGTGAGCCACAGAGCCCCTCAGGTGGAATTATTTTAGAAACCTCGCCCGGGTGGCAGAGTGGGACATGAGGCTGGAGGCAGGGAGGCCAGGGGAAGGGGGCAAAACGTGCAGTAACCCAGGTGAGAAATGACAGGGGTCTGGGCTAGGCAGCAGCAGACGACTCCCAGTGTTGAAGATGAGCAGATGCTGACGGATGGCGAGGGACAGGTTTGGAAGAAGACGTGGGGTGGGCCTGGGCTGGGCCTGCTGAATTGGAAGTACCTGTGCACCACCCGAGGTGGAGAAAGATGTGAGCGGAGCCCCAGAGAGCTGGAGCTGTGGATGCAGATGTGGAGCCACACAACCAGCCAGGGAGGTGCAATCCATGGAATGTAAAGAGTGGAAAAGAATCCTGGGAAGCGACATTAAAAGGCTGGAGAAGTGTTCTCCATGGAGACTAGTAAGGAATGAACAGAATTCACTGAACAAGGAGAATTCTATCAAGGCAGTTGGAAAGGGGGTAAGAACAGGGGATCTGGGCTGTCTCAGGGTGCCAGGGAAGACCAGTGTCTCTCACTCTGCACCACTCTGGACATTTGGGACTGGACAATTCTTTGTTGTGCGAATGTCCTGGGCACTGCTGATGTTTAGCAGCACCCCTGCAAGATGCTAGTCACATCACCCCCCGCAACCCCAAAAGGCCTCCAGTCGTTGTCAGATATCTCCTGGGAGCAAAATCACCAATCATCCTTTTCAGTGTGGGATTCTAGGACTTCAGCAAAACGGCCCTCAACAACTTGTTTCCGTCCATGCCTGTGACCACTGTGGCCTCCCCGTCTACCTCCTGGAAATCCACAATCCTTAATCTCCATTCGTCCAAATCCCACTCCCCTAGTGTAGCAATTCACAGTATGGGCTCTGCAGCCAGACTGCCTGAGCTGGAATCCCAACAGCACCACTGATGTGCTGTGAGCTCACGGAAAAGTTACTTAACTTTTCTTTGTGTTACTTTTCTGTGTAGCAATGCATGGACCTTCCATGGTGGTCACAAAAATGAAATATCCCCATTCACAGGCGGTGCTTAGAATGGGGATATTTCATTCATGCCCTGCTTTCCAATCTTCAAGATCCACCTCTAGACACCAGTGTCACCAGGGCTCCCCTCTACCCCTATATCCTGAGCAGCACAGTCTAGTCTGAACCTTACTTGAGTCCCCATTCTGGTGCCCACCAGGTGATAACTCAGAAGAGTGGACATCTCTGACTCGCCTTTAGGCTCCTGGTACCACTGGCCAGGCCATACACACATCCGGTGCCAAATACAGTTGCATTAAAATAACACTGACAAACCTATGTGATAAGCAAAGCACAGGAAGAGAGCTCTGCAATCCTAGACAAAGAGAAAAGACCTGACTGTACAGAAAAGAAGTAGGAGAGTGGTATGCAAACTGAGTAAATTAACTCGTCTCCAGGTCTGAGACCTTTAGTGTCGTCTAAAACGTTAATGAGTCAATTAAACAAAGTTCAGTTGCTTTTAATTTCAGTCCTTCAGAGGAAGAGACTTTGAAGAGATGTCTCTGAAACAGAATGGCAGTAATCAGTGATATTAACCCAAGACTAGTGAAATCAAATTTTAAAAGGCCCTAACTATACTTTGCATTCATAATATCCAAAATTTAAATGTTTAGATCGACTTGATATTTCTTTAAAAGGTATTTTCACATTTAAAAAAAAAAGGTTGACTAATAAGGGGGGAAATCCTATTTATATCTTTCCCAAAAAGCTGCACATGTATCACTAAACCAATACTGAGCAATTCCTGCGTACCAGGTCTTAGAAGCAGGAAAGATGGCAAATCCTGCTGAGAACTCTAACAGAAGTATATGCCTGGATCACGGAGGAGGCAGAGCTCCAAGTCCCTGTCCCTGCAGCCTGGTCTGTGATCACCACAGCCATCCTCACCTGCTTTCTACCCTCCAAAAGACTCACAATGACGAGTCCCCACCCCAACCTGCCAGCCAGGCTTGTTTACAGCTCAGCCACTTTGATGTGGCCTTGTGGCTAGACCTCAAAAACAAAGACAGAGCCAAGGGCTTGTTTAATACCAAATATTATGTGCAACAGACACCTCCCCCTGGTACACACCTCCAGGCTAAGGGCAAGGCTCCTCGGATTAGGTGAGTCACAGGGTGGGCCTTGGGAACAGCAGAGAACTCCTGACGAGGCTTCTACATCTCACACAGCCTTCGGAGAGGTAGGCTGGCCTCTACCCTCAAAGACACGGTTTCCTTTGAGGTTTGGTTCTTAACTCCCTACACCTGGTTCCCCTCCCCCTCCCCCTGTCTACACTGCAGAGCATCTAGAAGGTGCCTGGTTGTGATACAAATAATACAATACGTGATAAATAATAATACAAGATTAAACTCCGTTTCATGCCCTCACAACTGTAAACCTACTTTTGTCCACTCCTGTATATGTGGAAACACGCTGTAAACTGTAAACTTGCATAAAAACTTTTCTACGTTATCTTCAGCATAAGTTTATGCCTGTGTACCTGGCTCCCCTACTAAATGCAGATTGCTCCAATATAGTTCTACTTTTTCTATCTAATGTTTTAGATAGATACACAATAGGTGTTTAGAAAGTCAATAAATAAATGAATAATGCCAAGCCTTTTTAAAAATTTCCTAAATAACCAAAACATAAAGGAAAAGACTTTGGAACTGTAAGAAACAGCAGTGGTGGCATTCAAAATGACACATGAGATACTAGCAGTATTACTGAAACATTGGATTGCTTCCTGAAAGCTGTCTAACTGCAAAACCTCAGCTCTTAAGAAGAGCTGTCCCATAAATGGAATACAGGTTGGTATGATACAACTAAACCTTTAACGGGGGAAAGAGGAGAAGGGGATCTCACGTTGGCAAGGGCTTGTGCCACATAGATCCCTTGGGATATTGGTATAAGCTGTGATAGCTTGAACAACAAGCAATATGGGAAAACGCTCCTTTATGCAGTGTCAGCAGTTTTTAAAAATGTATATAAGCCCCCAGTGCCAGTTTGTACAGCTCCATCATCCAATATTCAGTATCCAGTATCTATTTGTCTCTGCCCAAGTAAAAATAATCAGGACTTCACCTCATCCTGGGCAACAATCTCACAGAGTTTAAAGTCCGGACAACAGAATGACTAGGCCTAGGTCATAAGGCAGCCTGTCACTCTCCCCAGCCTTCACATCCTCCACCTCTGCCCCCACCTATAAAAAGGGGAGTATCTGACAGCAGTCATTTACACTGGCTGCCCAACAAACACGATCCCCTTGACAAACGTGTTCACACTAACAGGCTCCCTGTAAATCAGGCGTGGCCATCTTCAGCTTTTCACCCGTGAAATTAAATGTTTCACCCCTCTTGAAATGGTTGCAAGCATCAGGTAGGGAGTTTGATGGGGAAGAGGGGTGAGGTAGGGACTTGGTCCTATTCATTCTTGTAAACCCACTGCTGTGAAAATCGTATTAGTGTTTCATAAATGTCTTGTGGAAGAAAAGCATGGCCCCATCTAAGTCAGTATTCCCGGGGGCCACATGCCGGAGAGCACAGCCTGACTAGGTCCAGATGAGCTCTCAACGGATCTTCTACACTCAACCCTGAAATTCTTTGGGGGGCAGAGCCCAGCCCTCATCCTCACTTCCACAAACTTAACCTAACCTATTCCATCCTCCTTTGGTAGTAAATCACCAATTGCAAATATTAGGGGTCCTGAACACATATGTTATTACACAGATCTTTTCCATATTTTAATTCCTGCTACATGGGAACACATCTCCTTGCTTGCTGAACAAGCTCTGCTCAGGGTATGAAGTTCGGCAAGAGGAACTTCACCTCTAGCTTCCAGAGAGGCCACAGAGCTTGGGCACTGAGGACACAGACTCTGGAGCGAGCCAAACTGGACCTGACTGTCAGCTCTGCAACTTACTTGTTCTCAGATTTTGGCAAGTCAACCTCCCTGTACTTCTGTTGTCTAACGTGTAAAAGGCAGAAGAACAGTATCTACCTCAAAGGGTCCCCGTGAGGATTAAAGGAGTTAAGGCCGTTTGAACAGTGCATAAAAAATAAGCAGTTTTTTAAAATATATTTTATTGATTTTTTTACAGAGAGGAAGGGAGAGAGATAGAAACATCGATCAGCTACCTCCTGCACACCCCCTACTGGGGACGTGCCCACAACCAAGGTAAATGCCCCTGACCGGAATCGAACCCGGGACCTTTAAGTCCAAAGCCTGACGCTCTTATCCACTGAGCCAAACCGGTTTCGGCTAACATAAGCAATTATTAAAAGCCCTATCACCTGATGTTAAAACCAAATAACGCTGATTGCATAGCTACAATCAGGAAGTGACCATCCTATCTCCACACATAAACAGGCGAAAGAAATACATTTCTTCCCCACAACAAGCATGCACAAAACAATTCAATAAATATTCACTGAGATGTTTTAAAAACACAGAAGCAGAATTCTCTTCTTCTAACCCCTTAAATATGTTCTCCTTAATTTCAGACAAATATGCCCATCAGCAGATGAGTGGATTAAAAAAAAACCTGTGATACATCTACACAATAGAACACTACACTGCAGTAAAAACAGGAGTTCTTAACCATTTGCAACAACATGGATGGAGCTGGAGAGCATTATGCTAAGTGAAA